TGGGCACCAGCCTCCACCTAGCATGACATGACATTGTCTCTGCCTCTGGATTCTAAAACTTAGACCCCCAGAGCTAGTGAATGAATGAAAGAACAGCCACAGAGCACCACCCGTGAGCAGTGCCATAGCATGAATCTTTGCCCAACAGTGAACTGGCCATCTGTTGCTTAGCAACCTGGGCCTGGGGCATCTTTAACTGTCATCTCAGCCTAAGTTCTCATGCCATCAAAACGGTAAGTCACAATACCCCACCTTACAGGCTACTTGGGGCATTCAATGAGAGAGTATCATTTCCACAATACCAGCAATTTGAAATACTGACTACAAAGAACCCAGAGCTGCACAAAATCCAAAGCAAAGATGTAGACTCCGTTCATTCCCTCAGCCGTGTCTCCTGTGTTTTCCCAGAGAAAAACAGAAATTTCCAAATAAAGGAACAGTCAGCCTCAGAGCTGAGTGGTCTGCTAGAGGGACCCATGCAACCTTCCAGTCCACTCTCAGCCAAGGATGAGCCTCTCTCCCCTTAATTAATAGAGAAATTTGAGGCTCAACAAATAGAAAACTTTGCTTGGGGCCAGAGATAATCCAAAGGAGAAAGCAGGACCCGGGCCCCACTCTCCCACTCCCTTAGCAAGGGGGTGGTGACTTGCTGAGTACCTATAGCCTCACATGGTAAGCAGCTCGGTGACAAGAAGCCAGGTCAGACTGCTCAGCACTGGGACTTGGTTCCACCACTTGGTGGCTATGTGACTCTGGACCAAGTGTGGAACCTCCCTCATCTCAGTTCCTTTGGGAGGACATAGGGACAGCAGTAGCCCTGGCCTCCCTGGGTGCCTGTGAAGAATAAAGGAAGCAACCCCATCTAGAGTACTCAAACGATGCACGATCAAAGGAAGTGCTTCATAAACACTGGCCACCACTTTCATCATTAATTAGTACTACTCTCCATTCCGGTGCTAAAGCCAATACTAGTGTTCTCCCAGCTGCTTCCCTGGGGAGGCTGACACCGCATGATCACAGGACAGCGTTCCTCACTCAGGACCTCTAGAAACTATTCTGCTTCACAGCAAGTGAAGAAGCAGCCTGCTTCTTCTGGAACAAGGCCCCCAGTGGGGAATCGGGACCCCTGCCTGCCTTCCCTTTTAAGATCCACCTCCTTCCACTCAGTGGCAGAGCCTGCTCCTGTCTCCTTGATGGCTCCACCTTCCTGTCGTAACTAGAATATCTGCAGCCTGGGAAGCAAGGACAGGAGAGAGACCTAGAGTAAGTCAGGACAGTGAGAAGGGATCAGGTGGGTGGTAGGGAGGGAACAGTAAGGACTAGCTTTTAAAGAGACAGTGTCGGCAGGGCTCTGTGTGGACCAAGCATTACTCACTGGAGCCTCCGGGGCAATTACCCTAATCATGTGCATCTCCCAAACAGCCCTTTGATTTATTAGCACAACGTCTTTTTTAAATGCCGCTTTTAAATATAAATAACACTTAATCATCCAGCTGTCGTTAAATTCATGTTATATTGATTTCGCGGAGTGCCGCAAATTTGAGGGTGAATGGGCTGGTGGATACAAGCACAAAGCTGGGAGGTGGATTCACAAGTACTGGGAGGGAGGGACGGGGCTTTGAAGGAGGAGGAAAGGGGGTGTCAAGGGAAAGAAATGAACACACACACACACACACACACACACACACACACACACACACACACAATGGCCCAGGGCCTGGACCGGTTTCCCATCAAGGAGCACTGGACACAAATAAGAGGCGAGGTGAGAGGGACACATCCGTTGCAGAGTAATCAAAGCCAAAATCACATCCCGCAGGCAGGTTCACAGCATCGCCACCGCCCCATCGCAGCCAGTGGGAGAGGCACTCCAACAGGTCTCCAGTGTGGATTGTCTGAGCAGTACCTGCTCTGCTGAGACTGGGCGAGAGCCGCTAAGAAATGCCCCCTAGCTGGCTGGGAGGAGAGACAGACGCTTGCTATAATTTCTTTCCATCAAAGCCTGGCAATACCTAGGAGCTCAGAGCAGTTACTAACCCATCCCCATGAGCTCTCTCCCCAAGGAAGGAATGTTACCACCCTAGAAAGCCCCTACTTAATTCCCAACAGCCCTCCTTGGGATTAAAAGGACCGGTAGGCCAAGTGTAGGCAGATTCTGCCATGCGGATTTCCCTGTCTGCAGGGAGCGGAGCTGAAGCAGGAGAACAGAGACAAGGAAGGAGACCGGAGCAAATTGGCTGCCTAGGAGAAAAATTCCTCCCTGAAACATTTTCAGGGCCCGTGTGTGTGTGTGTGTGTGTGTGTGTGTGTGTGTGTGTGTGTGTGTGTGTGTAGGATTTAGTGAGAGCAGAGCAGATCATGGATGAACCATGCCTGCTGTTCACAGGAATGCTTCCAGAACAACTTCCAGCCTCAATAAGGCTGACCAAAGAGAAACATTTGTGTTCCGGCCTTTCCTAGTGCATGCAACTGAGTACCTTATAGTGTAGACCAGAAAACTTAAAGGCCCACAAGAACAGTAGAGCAAGGATATTGTGGTATACTCCAGGGTTGGGCAAAAGAGCCAGGAAATGAAAGACACACACACACACACACACACACACAGTTAATTACTGCCTGTCTTTTCCTAGAAACCAATGGTAAGTGCAGAAAGTGTGGGGATTCTTTTGAGCTCCAGTGTTAGCTTATAACTAGCATAATGATAGTGGACTTTGCATTAAAATGACAGATCCTGAGGCTGCAGGAAGAGGGGGACAGAGAAAGAAGCAGGAGTCTGTTGTGGCAGGGGAGATCTGCACCCCAGCCTCCTCCCCTCACAGGTCCGGTGAGGGAATGCTTGTCTGGGAGATACTCATTGTCACTATAGTTCACTGCTTGTTACAGATCATGTGCCACAGCCATATGTATGAGTATGTGGGTCCTCCCCATCCACACACTCCAAATGTGTGCATGCTATAACGTGCCAATGTTTTTCCACAGCCCAGAAGTCAGAAGTGGACACCCCTGTCACCCATGCTTGGACAAGCTGACTGCATTTGGCACGGCTCTAAGAACGTGTGTGTGTGTGTGTGTGTGTGTGTGTACAGCTGCATGTGTACACACCCACCATTCTTAAAAAGAAATGTTTCTCCCTGATCTGGGTTCTCATTGTGAGAAGCTTTCCTTTATCCCAGCTATCTTTTTCAATCAATCAAAGGGCCGCTTACACCACACACAGCAGGGATACAGATTCCCTCCTGGGGCATCTGCTTCCCCCACCCACCCACCCACCCACAAAGCCTAGCCAGAGAGACCTTGGCAGGGTCAGAAAAAAGTTTGAAAAACAGGAGGACTGTGAGTGCAAAGAAAAATCCTATGTGGCTGCACCCCATCTTCGGGATTTATAAGGCACTAGAAATCCTCTACCTGCACTTAAGACCTCCTTGTTCCAGAGTGCTTGTTTCTTGTCCCTCACCTTCTGGAAGATTTCCAATGTATTTCTCCCTTTGGTAGGTTTGTAGGACACTCTGAACACACGGTCTTATAAAGAGGGAAGAAGCATATCCTGATTTTATCAGAATGCCCCCAAGACACCACAAAGGGACAGCTATAGAAACATAAAAACATGTGTATTCAAGCCTGAAATAACGATTTATTTGAACCTTCTATTCTTCTCCCTGCAATAATTGAGGCCCCCAAAGAAGTCTCTCTTGGAGTCTAATAGGTGAGCCTTGAAAAAGCACTTTGGGACTCCATTCACCCCCATTCCACCCCCATCCATTCTAGGAAAAGTTTCAAAATGAGCAGGCTCTGGAACTGGGGCGGGGGGGGGGGTGCTCTGGGAAGTACAACTTGAACCACTGGCTTCTGGAAAGCCATTCTGCACGCGGGGTGGGGAGCTCTGGGAAGTACAACTTGAACCACTGGCTTCTGGAAAGCCATTCTGCACGCAGAGGATCTGGACTCTGGGGGACACTAGTAGACCCAATACCTCATAGGGTGGGTATGCCAGTGTGTCCACAGTCCTTTCTCCCTGAAAAGTCTAAATCCCGCTCTACCCTTCCTTCGGCTCGTGTTCTCAGACACATACCCCAAAGCCATGTGACAGGTGTTAGCTCACGGCACAGGGGGAAATCGCCTCACATGCACAGAGAAGGATAAGGAAGTGAGGGGGTGGCCACAAAGCTGTGTCCCCAAGCCCTGTCTGCTTGCTGTCTACCACTGACTGGCAACGTGAATAAGGTTTGATCCTCCTTAAAGGACCGCAGCATCCTCCCTAGACAAGGATCCCTCCCCTAGCTTTGATGTGAAAGCCCCTCCCTGCCTGAAATCCCGGCACATTCCGGGGAAGCAGTGCCACGCTTCGGAAAGGCGTGTGTGCTGCCTTTACTAGGGAAACGCAGAGTCTGTTCCATATGCGCCGCCCTACAGAACTGCAGCCCCGGTTGCTTATGTGGCCTCCTCCCAGGCGCCCGATCAACACAATCTCCAAATCTCTGCCCTTTAAATATCTATCTGTGTTTCTCCTATAAAAGGGGGTAAAAATCCTAGTGTCCAAAAGCCAAGGGCTCAATTGCACTGGGTGGGTCTCCTAAGACCTCCCATGACTTCTCCTGTTTTGTAAAAACCAGTTAGGAAATGAAAGGAGCTAGAAACAGCAAAATCGCTCCCTCATCCTACCAAGCTGGATAGAAGAGTCAGTCATTTACAAAATCCCACCCTGAAAGTCCTGGGGAAGAGAAGTCTAGGTCCGGTGAAGAGAAGAACACGGGAAATCCCTGCTCCGGGCTGCGCTGCACCTACGCGGGTGTCCAGGTGGGACGTGGGCAGGTGCGTGAGCTCAGGATATGCGTATATGCATGTGTGTGTGCGTGCGCGTGTGTTTGTGCGTGTGTGTGTGTGTGTGTGTGTGTGTGTGTGTGTAGCGGGATGGCTCGGAGCAGGCGAGGACTCCAGGACCGGACCCCGCACCTCCGCCCGCTCTGCCCAGCTGGCCCTGAGCCCGGCCGGTGGCTCCTTACCTGGAAGAGCGGCGTTTCCCTCCTTCAGCCCCAGCGCCGCATTGACACTGCAGATGGTGCCTGTACCGCTGCCTCTCGCCCTCCTCTGAACGTGTGCGTGTGCGCGCGTGTGGCTGCCTCCTCCAGCCCCAGCCCCGAACGCAAATACTCCACCGAGGCACCGGGAAGCCACGAGCAGCAGAGGAAAACGGAGGGGGCCAAATCAGAGCCTGCTGGGCTTGACAGCTCCTCTTGCAGCGTCCAAGGTGGGCGTAATGTCCAACAAAAAGGTCAGAAAATGTGGATCGATTCCAAGCACCCCTTTCCTCCACCCAGCCCCGGAGCCCAAGCAGCGACAGTGGTGGCTCTCAGGGGCTGCGGCGGCGACGCGGGGCTGCCCCCCTTCGTCCCCACCCCCGCGGGCTGAATGTCCTTGATGCCAAGCGGGCACGGCGGCGTCACTCCGCGCCGCCCATGCTAGCCGGGTCGGGCCGCTGCCCGGGCGCGGCGGCGAGTGCGTTGGGGACCCGCCGGGGAGCGCTCTCCCAGCCTCTGCGCGCCTCCCTGGGCAGTGGCGTCCACCTCCTGGCAGCCCAGGGCCGGACACGCCGCTGTTGCCCCCACCCCTGCCCGGGAACTAGCCGGGCAGTGCCCAGGGGCCGGGGCTGGGGGCCGCGGGAGCCGCCGACTTCTCCCCCGGGAGGCGCGGATATGCGGTGATAGCAGCGACGGCGGCGGCTGGCGCTGCGGCGGCCAAGAGCGCGGCTGTGGTCCAAGCCGAGCTTCCCGGGCGCGCC